AAATTGAAACTGTCTGGGAGGGAGGAGGGAAAAAAGCGATTTCTACCGTATATAAAGTTTTGTTAAAATGGTATACGGAAGATGAGACGGTGAAAGAACAAATGCTTAAATGGGCAGTAAATGTTAATACTGAGATTTCTATGGACTCTTGGGAATATCTGTGGAAGAACTCGATTAAGATTTCGACCTGTACTAATGTGAAAGAGAACTGTTATAAAATGATGTACAGGTGGTATATGACACCAAAGAAAACAGCCAACATGAGTCAAAATCTTTCCAACGTGTTGGAAATGTAGAAAACATGAAGGTTCATTTTACCATATGTGGTGGACATGCGAAAAAGCTGTGGACTTTTGGACCAGGGTCCACAGCGAAATGCAAAAGATTCTGAAATGTTCCTTTAAGAAAGCGCCAGAAATTCTGCTCTTAGGACTTAAAATGGAAGAACTGAATATTACAAAAAGGACTCTATTTTGGTACTTGATTACAACGGCGAGACTACTCTGTGCGCAATGTTGGAAACAAGAAAGAATTCCAGAGATAGAAGAATGGATACAGAAAACTTTGTTTATGGCGGAGATGGACAAAATTACAAAAAAATTGAATAACAAAGAAGATCAGGAATTCTATGAAGAATGGAGAGACTTTAAGGTTTACCTAGAAAAAACTGGGATGTGAAACATAATTACTATATTTGGAACAATATTGAAGTTAGAATATGATGTTATCTTAAGTTGTGCAGGAGTGACGAGGGGGGAAGCATTGAGGGAAGCCCGGGGGAGGGAGAGTGTAAATTGGGTAAATTGGGGATATTGGTATGGGGTTAAAACCGAAATATTAACTTGAACTGATGATATGTCAATATTTTCATGAAAATAAAATTGTGTTCAAAAAAAAAAAAAGAATGCTCAGAGTGTGGAAAGAGATTCAGTGATAGTGGCAATCTTCAGAAGCACCAAAGAGCCCACGCAGGGGAGAGACCTTTTGAATGCTCAGAGTGTGGAAAGAGATTCAGTGATAGTGGCAATCTTCAGAAGCACCAAAGAGCCCACGCAGGGGAGAGACCTTTTGAATGCTCAGAGTGTGGAAAGAGATTCAGTGATAGTGGCAATCTTCAGAAGCACCAAAGAGCCCACGCAGGGGAGAGACCTTTTGAATGCTCAGAGTGTGGAAAGAGATTCAGTGATAGTGGCAATCTTCAGAAGCACCAAAGAGCCCACGCAGGGGAGAGACCTTTTGAATGCTCAGAGTGTGGAAAGAGATTCAGTGATAGTGGCAATCTTCAGAAGCACCAAAGAGCCCACGCAGGGGAGAGACCTTTTGAATGCTCAGAGTGTGGAAAGAGATTCAGTGATAGTGGCAATCTTCAGAAGCACCAAAGAGCCCACGCAGGGGAGAGACCTTTTGAATGCTCAGAGTGTGGAAAGAGATTCAGTTAGAGTGGCCATCTTCAATTGCATCAGAGAACCCACACGGAGGAGAAGCCTTTAGAATGCTCAGAATGCGGGAAGAGTTTCAGTGTGAGTAGCAGTCTTCAACGGCATCAAAGAACCCACACAGAGGAGAAGCCTTTTTAATGCTCAGAGTGCATAAAGACATTCAGTGGCAGGGGCAAACTTCAACTGCATCGAAGAACCAACACGGGGGACTAGGCTTTTGAATACTCAGGGTGTGGAAAGAGATTCAGTCAGAGTTGCCATCTTCAACGGCATCAGAGAACCCACACAGGTGAGAAACCTTTTGAATGCTCAGAGTGCAGAAAGACATTCAGTGACAGGGGCAAAGTTCAATTGCATCAGAGAACCCACACAGGGGAGAAGCCTTTAGAATGTTCAGAGTGCAGAAAGACATTCAGTGACAGGGGCAAAGTTCAATTGCATCAGAGAACCCACACAGGTGAGAAACCTTTTGAATGCTCAGAGTGTGGAAAGCAATTCAGTCAGGGTGGAACTCGTCACCGGCACCGAAGAACCCACACAGGGGAGAAACCTTTTGAATGCTCAGAGTGTGGAAAGCAATTCAGTCAGGGTGGAACTCGTCACCGGCACCGAAGAACCCACACAGGGGAGAAACCTTTTGAATGCTCAGATTGTGGTAAAAGATTAAGTCACCGTAGCACTCTTCAGCTGCTTCGAAGAACCCACACAAGGGAAAAGCCTTTTGAATGTTCAGAGTGTGGAAAGAGATTCAGTCAGAGTGGCCATCTTCAACAGCATCAGAGGACCCACACAGGGGAGAAGCCCTTAGAATGCTTAGAGTGCGGAAAGAGATTCAGTGTGAGTGGCAGTCTTCAACTGCATCAGAGAACCCACACAGGGGAGAAGCCTTTAGAATGCTCAGAGTGCGGAAAGAGATTCAGTGTGAGTGGCAGTCTTCAACTGCATCAGAGAACCCACACAGGGGAGAAGCCTTTAGAATGCTCAGAGTGCAGAAAGACATTAAGTGTGAGTAGCAGTCTTCAATGGCATCAAAGAACCCACACAGGGGAGAAGCCTTTTGAATGCTCAGAGTGCAGTCTTCAAAAGCATCGGACAACCCACACAGGGGAGAAACCTTTTGAATGCTCAGAGTGTGGAAAGCGTTTCAGTCAGGGTGGAACTCTTCACCGGCACCAAAGAACACACACAGGGGAGAAACCTTTTGAATGCGCAGATTGTGGAAAAAGATTCAGTCACCGTAGCACTCTTCAGCTGCTTTGAAGAACCCACACAGGGGAGAAGCCTTTTGAATGCTCAGAGTTTGGAAAGAGATTCTGTGAGTGGCACTCTTCATCTGCACCGGAGAACCCACACAAGGGAGAAGCCTTTTGAATGCTCAGAGTTTGGAAAGAGATTCTGTGAGTGGCACTCTTCATCTGCACCGGAGAACCCACACAAGGGAGAAGCCTTTTGAATGCTCAGAGTGCGGAAAGTCATTCAGTGACAGGGGCAAACTTCAACAGCATCGAAGAACCCACACAGCAGAGAAACCTTTTGAATGCTTAGAGTGCAGAAAGAGATTCAATCGGATTGCCCATCTTGAACAGCATCGGAGAACCCACACAGGGGAGAAACCTTTTGAATGCTCAGAGTGTGGAAAGCGATGCCGTCACCGTAGCACTCTTCAGCTGCATCGAAGAACCAACACAGGTTGAGAAACCTCAGAGTGTGGAAGGAAATTCAGACAGAGTGGCAATCGTCATCGGCATCAGAGAACACACATAGGGGAGAAACCTATTGAATGCTCAGTATCTGGGCCCACTGCCAGCAGACCCAGGCTTGGGAGCCGCCCCAAAAGAGGCTCCCATAGCACAGCAACATGACCTCAACAAAGTGCGGTCATTAAATTTGCTGTTGATACCAAATTGGGAGGAGTAGCAAACTCCCAGGAAGATACGGTTAAAATTCAACAAGACCTGAATACTCTGGAGAATTGGGGAGATGCAAATAGGATGTAATTCAACAAAGATAAATGCACAGTTTTACATCTGGGCCACAAACATGTCAAGCACAAATACTGGATGGGGGATACATTTCTAGGGAGTAGTGTACGTGAAAGAGATCTTGGGGTAAGAGTGGACTGTAAACTAAGTATGAGCAGTCAGTGTGATGCGGTGGCAAAAAAGGCAAATTCAGTCTTGGGTTTTATTAAAAGGACCGTAGCATTGAAATCGCAGGAGGTCATAGCCCCTTGGTCAGGCTGCACCTTGAGTACTGTGTGCAGTTCTGGAGGCCTCACTTCAAAAAGGATGTGGGCAAAACCGAGAGGGTGCAGAAGAGAGCAATGAGGATGATCAGAGGTCTGGAGACTGAGCCCTACGAGGAAAGGCTGAGGGCCTTGGGAATGTTTAGTTTGGAGAAAAGGAGATTGAGAGGGGACATGATTGCTCCCTTTAAATATTTGAAAGGCTGTCATGTGGAGGAGAGCAAGGAGCTGTTCCAGTTGGCCGCAGAGGATGGGACCCGAAGCAACGGGTTTAAATTACATGCAGAAAGGTATCGGCTGGATATTAGGAAACACTTTTTCACGGTCAGAGTGGCTCAAAGGTGGAATCGGCTGCCCAGGGAGGTGGTGAGCTACCCTTCACTGGCAGCTTTCAAGAAGAGGCTGGATGAATATTTGTCAGAGATGCTTTAGGCTGGTCCTGCATTGGGCAGGGGGTTGGACTAGATATGTCTGTATGTTCCCTTCCAACTCTATGGTTCTGTGATTCTATAAAGGAAGTCCCCCCCCACCTGCTGAGCTTGCTGACATGCTATCAGCCCATCAGCCTCCCTTGATGTACAAAGAAATCTTTTGCAGCATGAAATAAAGTGGATATTCCAACTAAACACATTGATGCCAAATGTCTTAAATTCTGCTTTAGATCTAGGTTGTTTTGCATAAAATTTTCTGTGATGGTTACATAAAGAAATGTGCTGGTCCTTTAAAGCAACAAAGTGTGTGTGTTTATGTATAGTGTTTTAAAATAAATTTTCACCTCTTCTGTGAGTGGTAATAGTAAAAAGTATATATAAAGATATGTGCTGGCCCTTTAAGGCAATAACATGTAACACCTGCACCATTTGCAAGCGTAAGGTCTACTTAATTCAGGTGCTTTGGAAATATGGTAAGAAGACTGCAAGGAAGATTGCTCTGAGTAGCTTTACTGAACCTAGGCCCACGGGAGGATTTGCCCTGTGAAATGGACGGATTGAGGGCACATCAAACGGGTGCAATCATACGGCAACATCTGAGAAGTGTAGCGCACCCATCTCCAACCCGTACCGTCAGCCCGAAGAAGCGGATTTAAAAGGCACTGGGGAAAAGGTAGTAGCTTCCGGTAAATGCGTGGCACGGGCAGGTGTCTGATTGGAGATGCGCCGGTAGCCCATGGCATCCAGCAGCCATTCGCGACCTGCACATGCGCAGTAATGCAGTACTGCCATGTTGCCTTGCTGGGACTACGCTGTTGCCTCCCTGGTGTGATCGGCTGCCGACAGCCTGAGGACAGAGCCACGGGGAACCGTAAGATCAGGCTCCAACACTTCTTTTCGCTCTGCCTCTAAAATATCTCCCTTCCAGTGTGGATTTTCCTGCTCGTGTGACCGGGGACCTAGAGATAAGAAATGAGTTGAGAACTTAGCTACAGAATTGAGAGGAAGTATGACCGACCAAAACAAATGGCCTTGGGTGAGGTTTGATATAGGCCCCGGTCACACGGGCCAGATAACGTGGGGGCGAGGCATGGCTGTTTGCCCTGGAGCAAAATAAAGTGCGGTAGCCCGATCACATGGTCCCCCGTCTCCACACTTAGGCTGTTAGCTGCTGATCACACGGCGATGCTGAAGCAATGCTAAACTGATGCTTTCAGTTTCATGTTTGTGCACACGCGCAGTTCGCATCCCATGGAGGCTTACAAAAAACATCCGGTTTGTGACGGGATGTGGACAGGCGGCTGATGCCACGGGATACTACCACTCCTGCGATCAGACGCCTGCCTGTGCCGTGCGTTTTCCGGATACTAGTGCACTTTCCTAGGTACTTTTTAACTCCACATCTTTGGCGGGATGCCATAGGTTGGCCATGGGTGCGCTACGCTTCCCAGATGTTGTGGTGTGATCATGCTCCGAAAATCTGCCTGACATTCATGCCTCTCACGGGGCAAATTCTCTGTGTGACCGGGGCCATAGTTCTGTTTTTAACCAAAGTAATGGGATCGTGTTTCAGCTTGAGAAAGCAACGAAACTGAGGTCACAGCTGTTTCGTTGGTGGAGCCGCAGGGAATGCATAGCACAAGTGAAACGTGGACATGAATGGATTGTAGAACAGGACTTAAAAAGTTTAGCACAGGCACTCTACTTTTTCTATGCAATTCTAAAAAGGTTGTCAACACTACTTATGAACTGTTTATAAGACTAGCTGTTGTAGATTTTCTGGGCTGTATGGCCATGGTCTTGGCATTGTAGGACCTGACGTTTCGCCAGCAGCTGTGACTGGCATCCTCAGAGGTATAACACAGAAAGACGGAGTACTCTCCGTGTCAAAGTGAGAAGAGAAATGGTGGGCAGGTAATTTATATCTGCTCAGGAAAGTGGGGTAGGGCTGAGTCAATGTCTGTAAGAGTTCCCAGGCTGTGAACATGCTAATGAACCTCAGGAAAGTTCCTTCATTAGCATGTTCACAGCCTGGGGAACTCCTACAGACATTGACTCAGCCCTACCTCAAATATTGACTCAGCCCTACCTGTCGCACAGTCGAGTTACTTGCCTACCATTTCTCTTCTCACCTTGACACAGAGTCCTCCATCTTTCTGTGTTATACCTATGCAGGGGTCATTTTGTAGAAAAAGAGGTGTAGGAGCTCATTAGCATAACTTATGTCCATATGCCACACACCCTGACCACCGGAAGTGTGTCAGAAGGCAACACCCACCGCTCAGGCTCCACTGGACTGTTTTGGATTGCTAGCTATGGGGGGGGGGGATGCTTGTACCTGAATAAAAGGAGAGCTTGTACCTGAATAAAACTTGGTCTTAAAGCTGCCACTGTTATATGACTGGCAATAAACATCGTCATAAACTTATTAAACGCAATAATACACATAGTACTTCTACCATTCAGAAAATGATAGACCAGCATGACTTAAAAGATATCTGGCGAATACAAAATGCCAGAGATTATACATATTTTTCACCAAAACATAATATTTTCACCCAAATAGATTTGATTCTTGTGTCATCCTCTTTAGTAAATCGCACATTATACGCAGATATAGGCCTTTGAACTCTTTCAGATCATGCCTGGACAGAGTGTACTTTAAAACATGTTACAAAAGAAAACTACATGAGAACTTGGTATTTAAATACACAACTTTTATTTAACCAAGGTATTGTGCATGAAGTAGATGAAGGGCTACAGGAGTACTTCCAACTGAACTCTTCTTGTGGTGTTGCCCAGGAACTTGTTTGGGATGCTATGAGGGCTGTGGTCTTCCTTCTATAACAGATATAGAAACATGTTAAGAAATGAAATTTTAGACAACATTAAAGTCTTGGAAGAGAACCACAAAGCTAAAGTTTCAAAAAAAAAAATTATCAGTGCCTTTTGTTAGAGCGTAAAAAGCTGGAGGCCATAGAAACAACTCAGGTCCAAAAAAACATAATGTACCTTAGACAAAAATATTGGTATAGGCACCCTAAATCTTTAGAACTGTTGGCTTGGAAAATAAAGGACAAGCAAACAAGAAAGAACATCAACTCTATTAAGAACGCTAACGGTCAAACAGTTTTTTCATCAAGTGACATTTTAGAGATTTTTTTTTAATTATAAAAAGCTATATGAGTCGGATAACCCTTCTAGTTCACACATAAAAAGTTACATTAGACATAACCACCAGCATTTCAGGTGTCATAAAACCAGCAGTGAGCTCTCGAGCCGGGACAGAGAAAACAAGAACAGAACGAGAGCAAGAGAATCTCTCCCATAGGGATTGACCAGTTATAGGCCCATTCCAGTCACAAATTAGCCCTGGCCAGGAGCCA